CGAACAATTTGCTCAGCGCTGAAAGGTGGCTGATCGGTCTGTAGCTTGAAGCTAGCATTGGGTCCTTCACGGGTTTGCGAATAGGTATGATTTTCGCTGTCTTCCAGATACTTGGAACGTAGTGTAGTTCCAAGCATCTGTTGAAGACAGCAGCCAGCAGAGAGTGAACCTTCATGCTGAGACTTTTCAACACTAGGTTGAATATTCCGTCGAACCCGGGGGCCTTCATGTTTTTGGTGCATTTCAGCGCTGAGCAAATCTGTTCCACTGTTTTTCTATCCTCCGGAGGGATGGCACAAGGGGAGGAATCAAGGTTGAATACACATTGCTCAACCTGAACTTCGAGCGAACTTTGGATGTTGAAGCCAAGCAAGTGCGACTATGCTCACCAATCGCATTTGCTTTCTCCTGTGGGGTGATTATGATCCGATCGTCATCATTTTCATCTTTGAGTGGAGGAATGGGTTTGGGGTGCGTCTTCAGGACCTTGGCAATCTTCCAGAATGATCTAGAGCGGTCGTCCAGATTCTGGATGAGCCGCCCGAAACTTTCGTTCGGGAGTGAGACCATTCTGGAAGCAATCTCCTTGTTCAGATCGGCCATTTCATGTTTCCACGCTAGATCTCCGATGCTTTGGAACTGGCGTCTACGAACATTTCTCAGTCGAATCAATAGTTGGGTGTGGTAATCAATGGCAATAAACTTACCCCTAACAGGAACTCGTCGGACGCACGCCTCGTCAGCCACGGTTATGGCTTGGTGGAGTCCCTCCAACGCTCGGTCGATGTCCTCCACGGAGTCAAGCGGCGGGTTGTCGATGATGTGCCTGTCTACCACGCGTCCAAACTGGGCCCAGTTTACGCGATGGTAGTCCTTGCGCAGGCTTGGAGTAGGGGCTACGTTGTAGCCCAGTTCAGCCACCACCGGTTGATGGTCGGAGCTGAGTTCGTTCAAGGCTACCCGCTTGGACAAGCCGGTATTTGTAAGAAACAGGTCTAGCGTCGATGGGTTGCCCGCTGGTGAGATGAATGTTGGCTCGTCCGAGAACCAAACGGAGTACAGCCCATGTTGCGAATGGTCGAACGGCAGACGACCGTTCTGGTTCTGCTGGTAGTTCTGCCAGGCTTCATGGCGAGCATTCAGATCTCCTCCAACAACAAAGCGGGAACCGGTACGGGTGATGGTGGACAGGTCTTTCTTGAATTTAGTCGCTAGTACGCTGCTGGCGGCACACTGTCGAGGGCAGTAGACGGCGATGAACTGGACGTATCCCGTCACCGACCCCACCTCCACACCAAGGACCTCGATGATAGAGGTGTGGATATAGAGCAGACTGCGGCATTTTATCCCTTTTCTGACGATGATCGCAACACCACCCCCTCTGTAGCTGGTACGATCAAGCCGAATGATCTTGTGGTCCGGCAACCAGCAACTGTCGCCAGACTTGAGATGGGTCTCGGTGAGGAGGCCCATGTCGATGGTATGCTTGCGGAGGAAGTCCGCAAGCTCGATGGTTTTTGCTCTTAAGGAGCAAGCGTTCCATGTGACTATGCATAGTGGTTTAGACGCCATAATGCATAGCCAGTTTCACGATAGTTTCGAACTGTTCGTTCTTGTTGGTGCACTTGTTCCAACATGAGGGAACTACCGAAAAACAAGAGTGAGGTGTGCTCCGGGGATGCTCTGCAACTTTTGGCCATCACAGATGACAACGGCGAAAACAGTGATATCGACGAAGAGGAAACTGTAAGCGCTCTTTGAGATTCGTACAATTTGAATCGGAACGTAATAAACATTAAACATGAAAGATTTTGGTATTGTTTATTGACAAAATCGAAAAATATTTAAAGTACATAAGCGATTCAGTCAAGGGTCGCTTGGGTTTGTCTGGTTTCGATCCCGAGTCATTTTGTTAGTCACTAGAAATAACCCAGGTTGCTTGGATAGCCATGTGTATGCCTCTTTTCACATCTACTCGATAGCAGTTCCGTGGTTTCACAAAATCGCCATTTCAAATTCTGAAAAGTGACAAGTTTCAATGCTAGTATTTCGGTTAAGGGTCACGTGGGGACGGTCTGGTTTCTTCACTATTTTATTGCATTTTCTTGTACACAGATAAAAATTCTGAATTTTAATAGTGATGTAAACATTCATTCACGTAAACTTGTATTTCATTTCACGCAATCGAGCAACTTGTAAACAATGTTGTTTACAACAATGGGCTTTTGTATACAATATTTGCTACATTGCATGAAATGTCTCAGAACTTTACATGATATATAATGTAAACTTATATGATATGTGACGCTCCATTTATGTGCATCATACTGAACAGAAATTTACACTTCTTTTTCGAACTGTGTACTTTCAATTGCTCAAAGAATGGCCTACTCGTTTTTGCCCGTTTAGAAGTTATTGGTATTGGAATTTGGGTAATTGTCAACCAAAAAATGTAAATAACTTTTCAAATATTAATGATAACAATTTGCAGTCTTCGAAAAAGATATGTAATTTGATATTTCTAACATCTTTGTACAACATGCCAAACAAGTAAAAATATTGTAGAAAAAGTTACAGATACAAAATTGATTTTAACGATGTCTCCACAAAGTAACCTTTATATCTCAGCATCTATAAGAACTAGAAAGTTTCAGTTTTCAGCAAAGTTGTTTACAGTAGTGTTCACTACAGCTTCGCCGAACACAATTGTTTTGTATCTCATCATACTAAAAAAATAAATTTTGCATCTCACTTTTAGGTGGATTAATCTTTAATTTTCTTTTACCATAATAAGGAGTGTTGTACCCGAGAAACTTCTCAGAAGACACATAGTACCTTTAATCATCCATTTCACCGTAAATAAAAAAGCGCGTGTTTTGATACCCTTGGCACCACTGTGCGTCGTGGAAGTTACGTCTAACTGCACTAACTCTAGCCAGCCTAACCGCTGAACTCTATTCAAACTACGAAATGGCCTTACCCGGAAAACCATACTTCCCGACCACAGGACTACGAGCGGACGAGATTCACGTTATAGACATCCCACCTGTCGAATACATCCAAAATTTAACTATGGAACACCGTGAGAAAATACAACTGTTGAAGCTAGAAAACAACTCCTTGAGCTGGAAACTCAACTTATTCGGATACTTTGGACTCTCAACAGTAATTATGATCATTAGTTCAATAGCATTCTTTTGGTACTTTTTCAGACGGAAATCAAATTCTACCTTAACTGTCAAATTCAACAAAGAACCGGAAACCATCACGATAAAGGAGCTGGAGCCATCATCAATATTAACAGAAAGCAAGTCGCTTAGCAGCAATCCAGAAGAACTATCAGAAGAACGGAAATAGGAGCTTCAAGCATTTTTTGATACACTCGCACCACTAAGATCCCTCCATATGTAACTTAAAGGACAAAGATACTTAAAGGGGGAGGAGTTAGTAACAACGCGACCTGCTTCATTATTTAGCACATTCCCACCATCACACCAGATCCCAAACAATAAACACTATCATCGATTAGCCGAATCAGCTAATTGTATGCCAAGCCAGACGATAGTCAGATTGGATCACTTTCGCTGGAATCACGACGATCACCGATAGCATGATGTCACCAGACCACCCAGCAGGAGAATCACCAGAACGCATTAGCAGCATTTGCAGAAACAAATAAACACCCGCATTGTTCCCACACTCGATACTAACCAAGAACTAACTTCGTAGCATAAGTTGAATTTGTAAATTAGTCTTAACCGATCACTGAATAAAAGTGGAGCATAGCTCCAAGAATATATTTTTTTGGACTTCCTTAAATGGAAATCTTTAACTGGCCCTAAGATTCAGTTAGGACGTAACAGATAACAGCCCTTCTTCCATTGTAAGAATCTATCTATTTATCTACATGTCCTACCAAGGATCCTTATGTTTATGATTCTCATACCGTCCGACACATGTGAGTAGCAGTCAAATCCGGCAACGTGCAGCTACACGGAAAGCGCAACATGCAACAATGTTATCGCAAAACTGCATCATCCTCCCAAGCAAACAGGACCCGTGTTTTACCCAGAAGTCACACCGCCCCCGAAAGCAGCCAGAAAGCCAAGATAAACATCATGTCCCAAATCCTGCACCCGGTTCTACTCAACACTATCGGTGTGAAAACGATCTCACCCATCAGATGCAGCCAGCGTTCGTTTTGACTTATCAGCTACCACGGACGTCGCACGCACGGACAAAAGTTGCTGGTTGGTGAAAAAGAGGTGGGCAATAAAATTTCAACCACCGCATAAAATTTCCCAGCACGCAACAAACCCGACACGAATGAGGCGAGCCTAGTGCGCGCGTGTTGTCATCTTTGATGGCTCTATAAATAAATCATCGCCGTCTGCAAGCAAATAAGCCGCCGCCGATGAGAGGAATTCGTGCTGAAAAGATTGCTTGTCACCGTGTTCAGGATGAGGCAGCTGAATTTTTATGAAGCCTTATCGATTGACCTGTTTGTGCCAGATTTTAAAGCAGCATAATCTCGATATTCTGCTAATCGGCCGATGATCGGTGGCACTCGATAACCGTATTATAGTTATTTAAATAGCGCACCATGACTAATCAATTCGAGCCAATGAGTATCACAATGCAAACATAGAATATCTATCAACCACTTGACAGAAGCTGCATTACACCGTTCAACTGATGTAGAATTTGTTTTTGTTTGATAAAATAGTTGTCGCACAGTGCACGTGCTATATTATTTGCAGACGATGAGTCGACGAAAGGTGAACTACCTGCACATTCTAAATCAAATTAAAAGAATCATTGATTGCGAAACTATCGCGTCAGAAAATTGCAAAGCACACTTTAGCCATCGACGTCGTGGCTGTAATCAGTGCTCTATCAGTGATCAAACACTGCACTGACTATTGTAGTGCCTACCGGTCGTTTGGGAGGTACATAATCTCAATCGGAACCGGCTTGAATGGACAGTAGTTGATCGAGAGTCACCGGGCGTGCAAGTAGTGCTTTAGAGATACGGGGTGTAATGTAACACAAATGACTGCTGCAGTGATTGTGATTGTTGCGATTGTGGGTGTCGCTTTTGGCACATCGGTGGTGCTTAGTACGGAATTGCCGCCGGACGTACCGAATTGGATTGGCAGTTTTCCAGGGGCAGAAGAAATTTTGACAAACCTGACGCAGCTAATTGACAGGAGTCCGGAGAATTTGACAACATGTGACCTGCAACTGGAAGCGTTGTGGCAGAGTATGGTGGGCCGGCCACAGCTGTGGGCTCTGCAAAGTAAGTGCTGGATGATTTTAAGGAATAGTGGTGGTGGGTGGTGGGTTGTATGAAGTCGTGTGTCCGCGCTTAAGTGGGTTATGGAATTTACGACTCTGTACTTCATTATTTATCCGGCATTGTCTGTAGGCTATATCTGTCATACAATGTTTTTCATGATCGTAGTAATAGCTTTTTGAGTCACGAGGAAGTCTACTCAGGAATAAATGTGTTGGTTGATGTTTGGCAGGGCTGGCAAATTTCAATTTCAATGAAAGATCTCACGCGATATTTACAGAGATACTTCTGTCACTATCATTGTATGAGAAGAGATAGAGATTTTCTTCAAAATCTCATCGAATTTTTTGTCAAGACAGAATGAGATAGTGTTGTGTTCATCGTAATTATAAGCTCATTTATTGCTATTACTGTTGGTAGTTCTGAGGAAATCTTGATAATATATTCACTCTACTGATTACATACGGTTGCTTGCTATAATTCATCTAAATAAATAAGAAATGTTGATATCAAAACCGCATAAGAATTATTCTCATGAGTGCTTGAACATTTTTAAATGAAAATAAAGCCATTTTCTCATTGTCAAATGACGACCGTGATATTTACCAGCTCAGGTTTGGATCAGTATGGTTTTGAAGATTAGGTGCTGCATCTGTCCAGATCAAGAATGATAACGATGGTCCCACCTTTTACCCCTACAAAGGTTTGAGCTGGACGATTTATCTTTAAGATAATTAAATATGACATTTTATAATAAATATAGATATAAATTCCATCTAGAGTTAACTGTTGCTTCGCAGTGATATAAATGTGGAAAAGCTCAGGCGTCCTCCTCTTGCTTTTTTGACCACCTAAAATATTCATAAGTATTACAAGCAATCAAGAGTTAATGAACAATCAACAAAGCATCCTATTACACTAGTAACCCCGCAATCTGATGCTATCATAATTTTCAGCAATGTCAGGAATGCTCACGAACCCCTAACATTTGCCAGAAAACTTACTACTAACTCAAGGTATCTTTCAAATAAGCTTCAAAATTGCATTTTTTTTTTATCAAATGTTAAATTCAGTCCTCTATATCCGTAATACGCGCGCGAGGCTCAAACCTTTGTAGACTACTGTTTTTTAATTAATCTACTATAAAATCAAATATTAAAAATCCATCATCACCATCGAGGCAAACAGAAATAGTTTTCGCAGTGCTACAATAATTATTGAAAAAAGTCGTTATGACAGCTATCCATATAAAATAATCCGTTAGAGATAACTTCGTCAAGATACATAATTTGTCAATTCATAAAAAAAATCACTGGATAACTGTTAAAAAGACAGTTTTGACGTGTGAAATGCAGTGTCTTTTAAATTCTGCTAATGTTGTTGCACGTTTAATGTGTCTAGGCATCTAATTGAAAACATTTATTCCTTTATAATATAATGAATTTTGTGAAGCACAAGTCAAGAAAGGTGGTGTTCTTATTTCATCCGCGTTTCAAGTATTATATCTATGAAAGTCACTTCCTCTTTCAATTCGATCACACAAATATCGAGGCAGCAAACCGTTAACTACTTTAAAAATGAACACCATAGTCAAATATACAATTCTTTGCTTCACCGACAACCATTGTAAGGCGTCTAGCATCAAAGTTGAGGAAGTGAATCTATTACATCTCAAAATCAAAAGCATTATTTTATTCTGCAAGCGCTGTTATCTCGATATTTGTGTTGCATTGGCCAGGAATAAAATGGAAAAGCAAAAGTCTAGATGAGGAGAGATGATTGATTTGTATAGCTGTATTTTACTGGCAATAGTTAAATCGTTTTTCAGGCGACATAGAATTCCATACTTCTTGGCAATTTTCTTGATGACATTGTCAATGTGAGAGTTGAACTTAAGTGTGTCATCAATAATCACGCCAAGATATTAAATCTCCCGAACGCGATCAATAGTCTCATCATCAATTACAACAGAGACGTTCGCATTTACTCGATTCCGTGAAATTACCATCAATTAAGTTTTGCTTGTATTCAATTTCAACTGCTTGTACTTCAACCATCTACTTAGAGAACGCAAATCTTCATTCAAGTGTAAAACGGCATCATCTAAGTCCTTAGCTGCAATGAATAACACAGTATGATCTGCAAATAGAATAATGTCGCAAAATCGTAAAACATTTCGCAAGTCATTAATATACATAATCAATAGCAGGGGCCCTAATACACTTCCCTGGGGCACTCCAAGGTTATTCCCGACGGGACTGTAAACAGAATCATTAAAAACAGTCCGTTGAGTTCTGTCAGACAAATAGCTTTCAAACCATTTATATGCAGTACTCGAAATTCCAAAGCGCTTGATTGATCTTAACAGTAAGGGCCTAGAAATTGTTTCAAAAGCGCGTTTAAGATCCAAAGAAACAGCAACAATCGTATCTTTACACTCCAAGTTATTTTTCCACTTCGCTAATACCAAATTCAACGCGGTTTCACAATAATGACCTTCCCGATATCCCGATTGTTCTGGTATCAACAAACTATTACTGGTTGGAAATGCTAACATGAAGCTTTAGTGTGATAATTTATAAGCTAGAGAATGATCTTTAGAAGAGGGTAGGTGGATAGTTCCGTTAGAGTACGGCAGTATGAAAATTGAATAGAAGTTGAAAATGAGCGAAGGGCCATTAATGCGACAGTTTTTAAAGTTAGACGCACATCTTTTGCCTAACCCGTACGATGTACGCGGAGACTTGAAGTATGTCTTCAAGTCTACACCCAACCGGTGGATGTAAGATTCGCTTACAATTATGTGGGATTCATCATCAGAGGATGTAAGTGGAGACCGCATGTACCGAGGATGCGATATACCTAGCTGCGGTCCAATGCAAGAAAATTGGAGACCGAAAAAAGTAGAGTGTATTAGTGAGGTAAATTTATTGTGTCGAAAAAAAAAAATAGGGAAAAAGGTTGCTGACTGGACTCGAACCACGAACGTTGCGATTATCAGACCTGTGCTTTCTCCACTGCTCTCTCCATGCTTCTCAATAAGGATAGCCTAAAAGCAAACAAAAAGCGTTCCTTTCCTCTCACACTCGACTGCGTATGCTTTTTCTGTTGGAGAGATTCGCGGCAAGGGTGTGCGTCGTTCTACCATGTTATACATAAAAATCAAGGCAAATGCTTGCTTGTGTAGATGAAAGCACAGACAGAACACGAAATAAAAAAGGCAAAAAACCATTACATCGCCTGTAAGGTCCACTTCTAACATTCGCTGCGATGTTCATGAACAGAGGATGATAGGAAATGGAACTAACATTCATTGTAATAGATTTTTGGTTTGCGAGTACAGGCAAAAAAAATGTGCGTCCCTCTTTTGCTCATAAACTGACTGCAGCTGTGGAATAGTTCTAGTGACGTTTTCATCACTACGACTGGAAATGCTCTCGCAACGTGGGGCTTTAGGTAGTGATGAAAACGTCGCTGGAACTATTCCACAGCCGCAGTCAGTTTATGAGCAAAAGGAGGACGCAAATTTTTTGCCTGTAGACTTGAAGACATACTTCAAGTCTCCGCGTACATCGTACGGGTTCGGCAAAAGATGTGCGTCTAACTTTAAAAACTGTCGCATTAATGGCCCTTCGCTCATTTTCAACTTCTATTCAATTTTCATACTGCCGTACTCTAACGGAACTATCCACCTACTCTCTTTTAAAGATCATTCTCTAGATAATGAATTATCACACTAAAGCTTCATGTTAGCATTTCCAACCAACTCTGCAAATCGCTAACTTCGCGTATGAAGTAACATAAAAACACTTTGAATGAAACTATTACCAACCGGTCCGCACTCGTGTTTATTTCAGTTACCATGGGGACGTAATTTGTGATTAGCCCCGGTCCCTTTCAAATTGTATCATTATTTATGTACGGCCTTATATTTGAAATGACGTTTCACATTCATCTAGTGATGGCCGATATTTCATTTTAAAAAATGGGACATCTCTGATTTAGGTGTGATTGTTTTTATTGTGATCGTAGCAACCCAGTAATTCGCGTCGCTATATGCACTTGTTATTAGTTGCTAAGTTTCTGAATAAAATTTTCATTCCACTGTTCAACGTCAACCGATAAAGACGTGTTTCAATTACTCTCTACAATTGGTTATGGGCCCAGGATACCTAACCGGAAGACTCTAAAATTTCAAGACCAGAAGAAGTATGTCCACAGGCGGAAGTTTAGGATCCGGACAGCAAGGTCAAGGAGATGGAGGCGCCAACGGAAACGGCAGGACTGAAGCTGGAAGCGTTCGAGTCACCAGAAGTTCCGTGGCACTGCCAGCCATTGACAAGCTAAGAGGCCGGGAGAACTACACGACGTGGGCATTTGCGATGCGGATGATCCTAATCCGTGAAGGAAACGGGTCTGCCATCGACGGAGACGGAGAAGGTGTTCCTGAGGATTTGAAGTTGCAGGCTCTGGCTACGATTTGCTTAAGCCTCGAGAGCTACAATTACAGTCTGGTGCAGGATGCGGTTACAGCAAAGGAAGCCTGGACGAAGCTGCAATCTGCATTCCAGGACAGTGGACTAACCAGGAAGATTGGACTGCTCAGAAAATTTACGTCGGTACGGCTGATCAACTGTGCTAGCGTTGAGGCGTACGTGGACGAATTAATGAGCACAAGCCACAAGCTTGCATCCGTGGGCTTTAAGGTGGACGATTACTGGCTCGCGGCGATGTTGCTGATGGGTCTTCCTGATCAGTACGAGCCCATGATAATGGGACTCGAAGCCTCTGGAGCGGCTTTGACAGCGGATGCAGTGAAATCCAAAATTCTACAGGACGTTAAGCTGGATCGTGGTCCGGTCAGCAGCGGCGTGGAAGGTGCCCTGTACAGTAAAGCGAACCGGAAGAAGCCAAGCGAATCCAAGGACGGTAGCAAAGGCGAAAAGTTATGTTACACCTGCAAGAAGCCGGGTAATTTTGCTGCCAAGTGTCCGGAGAAGCAA